GTCTTTTTCCTTGCCCTTAAATTACTTATTTTCCTTACCTCCCCAGACCTTCCATCATGAGCCAATCATGTTGTCTTTCTGGCTCTTGCATGATCTTATGCGCTCACTATTGCTATGAACAGTTTGTTAGACAAAACATCATAACGGGTGCTGGTAGGGTTTTGCTCTCTGAAGCTGCACAAAGTCAGAGGGGGCAGGCATGCTCTACGATAGCACCAGCCATGCTTCTCTTTCTCTGCCTGCCTGTGAATTAGCTGTGGAGGTAAAAGAAGACAGTATCATCTGTAGTGGTACTTCCTCAGTACTCTTCATACTCTCAGGGACTGCCCTCAGGATTAAGAGTTCTTTTTCATCTGTTAATTTTCCCAGTGATCTCTTGAATCACATCATCTGTACCCAGGTGTGTCATAGTATCATGAAATGGGGTGCAAAACCATTACCCTCTGTTAGGCTGCCCAGGGCTTCAGATTTTTTTTTCTTTTTTTTTTTTAAAAAAATCCATTAGCTATTAGTAAGATGCTGTGTAAGTGGTTGCTGTTGCCCTCTCTCATGCATTTAATAATAAGCTATGATATACTTACCCTATGTGAGCTTAATCCTGCTGTTTTTAGTCCATTTATATATTTGCACTTTACAGCATCCTGTGATGGAGAATTTTAGATTTCAAGTGTGCTTTATAGAAAAAACATTAATTTCACCGACTGTCACCGGTTCTTTTGTTGTAAGAACAGTTGGTGATCATTCCCTAATTCTCCTCTTCATGTCTTTCATGACTTTATGGACATATGAAATACCTGTACCTGATTGTTATTCTTCTCTTCTGTTCAGCTGAAAAGTCTTAAATTTATGTTTGTGTGGAAGCTGTTCCAATTCCAACTGTTCTCATTGCTTGCAGAAAGTAATTTTAAGTATAATGCCCTTATTGAACTGAAGTAACAGGGGACTGATTGGTGTTCAAAAAGGAGGCAACCCTGAAATTTTAAGTGGTATGTTAATATGTCCTGCTTTATTTTTTGTGCCATTTGTAACAATTCTTTGTCATCTCTTGGCCTTTTTGATGATATTGAGTAGTGAGCTGCTGTTTTCCAAGGAATACCTGTATCCCCCCTGTGCCATTAGTGATCTCTGATTTAGACTTGCTTTTTTTTGTGGGCATGTCTTTAGAGTTACCAGCACTGTGTTGTATCACTTGGTTTGTTGCTTGTGTTGGTGTATAAATACATTGCTAAATTATAAAAAGTGCTGTCTGATTTGTTTGGTAGTGCTTGCTCTTTTAGACATTTATTCCAAGAGCAGTGCTGGAGGCAGTTATACCGGATTGCTAATGACTTCTTCAAGGTTTTAGTTTCCAAGAAAACTGTACATGCATGCAGGCAGTCAGGCTGTTGCCAGTTGATGAGCACGTGAAAAAAGCAACAGGGATTCAGAAACCTAAATGAACAATGGTGGGGTTGTTGCTGAATTTTATACTTCAGTCTTTTGCTCTAGAAGTGCATTGTGAAACTGCTTAGGAGTCTCATTCCTGCCTAATACAACTGTGCTTTGAAGGTTTTCTAACATGACACACAACTGTATGGTCTTTCTTAGAATCTTAATTGCCCAGTAGTGTGATGCACTTGTTTCTTGATAGTTGTACATGTGGGATTTTGACAACCTTTCCGAGCTGGAGATGAGCAATGTTCTTAACCATGGGTTTGTGCTAATACTTACCTATATAGCAAGACTTCAAAGGCAGTGCCCTAGCCTTTTATCAGTGCATCTTTTCCACCTTCTCTGAGAGAATTCTATTGCCTGGAGAGTTTAATTATTTTTCACAATGAGTGCTTAAGAATTTTATCTTTGGACTGCCTAAAAATCCAGGATCTTGCAATTGTGCTTTCCTATTAGAAAGCTATTCTTGTTTGTAAGTGGTGAAAAACTTTTTTTATGCTGACAAATACAGTGGGTTTGGAAGACTTTAAAAATTAATTTACAGGCACTTTTTGTGAACGCTGGAAAACAGTGATTTCTGCAAATAACCTGTGGCATCACTTACAAACAAGCATCTTAGCAGCAGCAGGGTGTTTGATTGGATTTGCCTGGGGGTCTTGCAGAGGGTAACATAGCAAACTGGCTATGAATTCGTCTGTAAGCAGAAAATCAGTGGTGCAGAACTTTTCCCCACTACTGAGTCCTTTGAGACATCTTTGGCAGGTCACTTATTAATGCTGATTTGGGTAGATTTAGTAAGGCAGTATTGCCCTTAGTGAGTCACTAATTTAAAAAAATTAAGTGAGAAGTCTCTGAATTCAGATTTCAAGTGTGGCATATTTTTGAGTCACTTCATGTATCATAATGTTGTAATATTCTTTTGCTTTCTTAGTACTTCTCTCATTTTGTAATCATAGCTTTAGGTTTAGTGAGTATGTTTAGTCATAGTGGTCAGGACCAGTTGCTGTTTTCAAAGAAACAAAATAACTTCTTCTGGTAAGAACTAAGAAGGGTAAAACCCATCTCTGATTGTGAGACTGCCAGGAAGCTTTTTCCTTCAGAACTCGGGATTTGTTTTTTTTTCCCCACGAAGTAGCTCCATTTCAAAAAAACTAGACTACAAACAGTTAACATGGGACTGCAGTAAATGGTCTAAGTTAGCAGAGCCAATAGTGAGCCCTCTGTGAGTATAGATAACAAGCTTATTTCTTCAAGTAGTTTTGCCACATCTAGCTTCTGATCAACAGGTTTATTTTAACTTTGCAACATTTTAACTAATCCATATAATTGCTGTTTCCTCCATCCTCTTAGATAAGCATTTAGGTCTGCCTTTCACCAGGACCATGGAAAAACGACCCTGATGTAAGAACTCCCTTTTGAATGGTTTTTAATAAAGTTGCTGAGTTGTTTAAAAATGTGGCAGGGAGCAGAGAAAATTGTCATCTCTGTCCCCTTTAGGAAAAAAGGGAAAAGTAGGAACATGATAAAAGAAAGTACAGCTCTGCTTCACGTGTATTTTTGATCTAATCCAAGATATTTTTGGAGAAGGAACTTTAGAAGTATTTTGAAAACAATTTGAAATTTCTGTGAATAAGAATTTCTAAATTACACTATGAGCATGTAAAAAATATGTCTTAATTCTATGTCATAAGCCAGTCATTGATTTCCTGAACTGATGTTATAGGTAGCTGATTTTGTAATTTTTCTCTACTGTATTTTTTGTGGCAGAATGCAAGGTTAGTCTGGTCTGTCCATTTATCCTTTCAATGCACAGGCACAGTACTAGTGTTAATGAATGTTTTACAAATGCAGCAATCTAATGCAGATCTAGAATGTGTGCCTTCTATCTCTTTACTGCCAGGCTGAAGCCTGTCTTCTAGGACATTTAAATGATACTGATTGCTGTTGTGCAGTACTTTACAGAATAAAGAGGAGCAGATTTGCTGGAGTTGGGAGTCATGGACTTTAAACATAGTTTTGAAGTCTGACTCCTCTGTCTGTCTTGTAAAAGCAGGTTGAATGCCAGGATGCCTTGGAAGCAGCTGCTCGGGCAGAGGGCCTGCCACTGGACACCTCTGTGCATTCCCAGCTGAGAATGCTGGATGAAGAGCATCACAAGAGCAAATACCACCATGGCTTGAATGTGCTGAAACCCATACGGACTACTTCCAAGTAAGTCTTCAGGCTACAAAAGAACTGATACACAGAATTTGCTTTTCAAACCAGTCACAAAGCAGGATTGCAGCTGTAGGTCTGCTGACTGATATGGGGAACATCAGATTTGTTTAGCAAGTATGACTGGTGTGGGCTATTTGGTACTCTGAGTACTTTCAATGAGAGGAGGCTTTGTAAGGGATTTACAGTTCTGTTTTTTCATTTGTGATTTTTCTTTTTTTTTTTCTCTTTTAGACACGAGCACCCTGTTGATAATGCTGGGCTGTTCTCCTGCATGACCTTCTCCTGGCTCACTCCTTTGGCCCACAGAGCATACAAGAAAGGGGAATTGTTTATGAATGATGTATGGTCTTTATCAAGTCATGAGTCTTCAGATGTCAATTGTAGAAGGTAGAGACATCCTTATTTCCTTGGTTTTGTGGTTGTTTTTTTTTTTCCCATGTGTTAGTGCACAGGCAATGATAATGATAGAAAAGCACCAGTGATATTTTGTTCTGTCTTTCTCAGGATAGTGGAATTTAGTTTTATCATTCAAATACCACTTCTTCCTGCTGTACTGTTGCTTATATCAGTGAACTTGGAGGATTCTGTCTCCAGGAGTGTTTAGCAGTTGTTTTTCTGATTTTGCATGTCTATTTTTTATCAAAACAAAGTTCTTAAGGCTGCACTGAAAAAATCTTGTGCTAAAATAATGAAAATTAATACTGACAATAGCAAGGTGATTTGAATATGGTCAGATCTTGCGATCAAGCTAACCTTTCATGACCAGTGAAAATTTTTGTCAGGTTTTGACTCTGCAACTCTTCTGTCAAGCAAGGAAAGCAGCAAGGAAAGGCTGTGACAAGTCAGTATATTGAGATTGTCAAAGATACTTTAGGGAAAGCACCTTTTTTCTGTAGAAGTAACACAACATAGATATTTCAAGATGCAGATATTTCTCTTTACCTTACAGAATGTACCATGTATGTATTTCACTTGATGTCTAGTAATTTTTGTTGCTCTGAGCTAGAAAGTGATTGGAATTTTCACAAAAAAGTACTTAGGAGATTGTACCTTCTCTCATGACGAAAAATTTATAACATGAGGCTTCTGTTTTTATTAGGCTGGAGAGATTGTGGCAGGAAGAACTGAAAGAAAGTGGGCCTGATGATGCTTCTCTCCGGAGGGTTGTGTGGATTTTCTGCCGTACCAGGCTCATCATTTCCATAGTGTGTCTGATGATCACTCAACTCGCGGGTTTTAGTGGACCAGTAAGTAATATCCATCCTTTTTTTAACAACCCCAGAGGGCTCCATCTCATGGCCAACTGTAAAATCTTAAAGTTTCGTTGCAGTTACTTAAAAGTTTTGACTAGCTAGAAATTTTGGGGCAAAATTCCAGAGTGATTCAATAATCCAAGATAGGTTTCCTACAGCTGGTGGATCAGTTGCTGAATACCGAGGCAAGTTCTTGGAGAAGGGTGGGGGAATTTAGATATCTTGGAGGAAATGCACACTTGTTTTTCTCTTTGCTTTTGAGTATAGTTTAAAGTTGTTCCTTGACTGTGGTCTTTTTTTGCATAGAATTTTTATGTGCAGGTCTTCTAATTGTTTTCTTATTCTTTTTGCTATTCTGTAAATGTATCTTGGAATAAAATTCAGTCTGATAAAATACTAATTTTAGATTATTGGCTTTAATAACACAGTCTTTGAGGAGTGGAATGAAACTGTTTTATATTAGAGCACTATTTAAAACTAATATGAGCAGTTCTTAAGAAGTCTAAGGGTATAGTCTTTACTGATCCTGCAGAGAATGGTCAGACAGAAGAAGTGTTAGAGCATGTTACTGCCTCTAGGAACTGCTGCTGTTTGCTGTGAGTCGTACTGAAGATAACAACATACGGGATTTGACATTCACACCATTTTTTGTCACCTGTTTGTTGCACGTGCTGTGCAGATTTACAGTTGAAATCTTAACTAAATTTATTCTCTACACATTTCCCTTGAGGAGTAGGAGCAGTATTACTGCTAGTAGTACATGTTTCAGTGTGCTGGTAAGCTGAAGGTTCATTTCTTAGGTAAGTACACTTGGGTGCACTGTTAGGTGAAATGTATTTTTAAAATGTTTCTCTGCCTTTAAATGTCTTATCAGAATGTTCTGCTTTTTAAGACTTTTTAAAGTTTGTCTTGTTTCATGTAACGTGAATAACAATAAATGTTTCTGTGGTACCGTTTCATTGGTAATAACTTGTAGTACCTTGGATTATGAGATATATATATGAATGTACTTTGATAATTAACACAAATTGCGATTAAGGTTTTAACAGCACTAGATTTCCCCAAGAAGAGCTTCTGTCATTGTTTCACTACAGGGCTTTAGTAGCTGCTTTTATCTTTAGAGAAGAACTTGCAGCAGGGTTGCCCCTAATTTCTGTAGTGTAATTTTCTCAATTTGTCTCAGCCGATTGCTGAATGAGAGAGAGCAGGAGGGGAAGGAGCAAAACAACCTGCTTGGTTAGGCTGGGGGCTGCTGCTGCAATTGATGCTTGATTTTGGGTAGTTTAAAATTATCTATAGACATTTGCCCATTTACAGGGAACCTTATTAATTTCTCTGAATGAAGAACAATTCCCTTTTTGGTTCCATCATTTGGCATGAAAATAAAGTCTTTACCATCCCTCCTCCCTGTTTTTAAAAATGACATGCCTCATAGGTATGCCTATGCTGTCTCCTCAGAAGTATCAGTGCTTCTTATATTGTTGCACCCTTTCAGTCACCTGAAAAGGGAGATCAGGGAAAAGCACTTGACTTGCTTCCGTATTGGTGAAAACTATAAAAATGGAGTTAAACACTATTGAACTTCAAAAATTTTAATTGAAAGTCTGTGACCTTGAAGTACCAGCCAACAGCTGTGGCTTTGCTGCTTTGCTAATGAGCATTGTGATGGTTATAAGTGGAAAGGAGTTGTGACAGACTTCCTGTGTGTTTGGGGTTTTTTGGTGTTTCTTTTTGTAATGGATAGATCCTTCAAGGGTCCTTTTTTTATTTTTATTTTTTATTTATTTTGGTAGATTCTGCATCTGGCACAATATCCAAACCTGTAACCTGGTGAGACAGTTGCATGTGTCAGAATGCCTTGTAATAACCATCAGAATGTGCTGGAATAGGTGAGATACTATTTATCTCCAGTGAATATTTGCTGTCATTTGATCAGCTACCTAAACTTTTGAGTTTGGGTTGAGGAGTAAAGAAGTTTTTTGATTACTAAACATAATCAGTTTAACTTCAGGTCTGAACAATGTCCCCGTTCAGAGCTATTCTTCCTGTTTGGGAGATGGGGAAACTTGCTATCTTAGTGGAGTACAGCTTGACCGTTTGGTCAGTTATTGGAGGGGGGAGTGGTAAGCTATTGGAGGTAAGTTTCCCAATTTCCCAGTTGGCTCCAGTTGCAGCCTGCCCCATGCTGTCGCATGCTGGCTGCAGCAGGGATGCCGGCACTGCAGTGGGACCAGTGACAGAAGCTGTTCTTCAGAATTTTCAGGATGGCTGTTTTCTGCGTCAGAATGAGACAGTCCTGCTGGGCAGAGCCAACGCCAAGAGCAAAGGTAAGGTAATGTTTATTCAATGGGAATGCTTAAGACAGCCAAGCAGCTAGTACCAACTACAGTAATAGTCACAGGAGTTCCTTTTTTCCCATTAGCTTGAGTTTTAGTTTTGTACTGTAACTTTGTTTTGTAAAGAACTTTATGCTGGATTCTTGTCGTTAAATGAGTTTGATTTCAAATAATATGTGTTCGGATGCAAATGTTAATTATGTGTGACTTTTTCCCCCTCCCTTTTCGAGATTCTTTCATCTGCTGTTTCCTCTTTTCTTCTGAAAAAAAAAAAATGGGGGTATAATGTAAACTGGTCTCTATTTCATCACGGGAGATGCTGAATCTATAATATAGTGCTGAAAGATTGCACTAAAAAGTTTTGGGAGGAATGAGACCCCAGGAAACATCTGCTATCTGTATACGTCCTCTCTTGGAGACTTTCAGCAATGCTGTGGTGTGCGAGAAAATGCTCTGTGACCATGCTGGGTTACAGCTCGTGACGAAAAAGGGGGATTTTTACCCCAGTTGCTCAGTGACTCGGTTGCATATGTTGGATTGAATACTGGAAAAAGAAGTCAGTAATCTCCTTAGTAACTACAAACCAACTGTATGCAGTTGTGGTCCAAACACATGATGTAAAACTAAATCCAATTAAGGAGAAAGTTGAAATGCAATAGATCTGTGAATGTGAGCTCCTCACATTTGTTCAGGGATTGGTATGTAAATTTTCTCTGGCCATTCTAGAACCTGGTGGACATCTGGCTTTAATTCACAGCTGTGAAAAAGAAAGAGCAAAATTATTTACAGCATGTTTCCTTGGTTCTGATGTGCAGAATTACTTTCCTCAGAACAGATGAATTTGATCTCCATTTTTTTTCTGTTATTTGGTGCTGGGCTATAGCTAATCAATAACTTTGCTTGAAATAGTGGGGTTTTGTTTTTTTTCCTCTCTCTTCAACCTATACAGAACTCTTCTTTGCAAAACCTGGTTTAGCCAAGAGGACTCCATATGGACTATTATGTGAAAGGCTTCTCAAATATTTTCTTTGGTTTCAGATTTTTTTTGTTACTTTTTATTGAAGGCAAAGGTAACTCTCTGCTTTGTACTCGCTTATCAAAAGCACCAGTATTTTAAAGCATCATTTGTTGAAAAGCTCTCTAGGAAATGTTTTGCTGTCTGTGGAGCCTTATTGTAGGATACTTTTTAAACCAGATTTCAGAATTTGTGCAGCCTCAGAAGCCTCCTCTGGCACCTGCAAGTTTGACTTCTTTTGGACTTCATGAACAAATACTGTTCTGTTTTTGTATCTTTACAATTTGTGTGTAGTTTTAAATCTAGCTTATGTTAGAGGCTAAGACTGTTAGATGTTAGTCCTTTATAATTATCCTGTATGTGCAGATTGTATGTTTATACAATGCTCTACCTGTTGTACAGTGTTTTTGAGATGTTACCATTTAAGATGACACTTTATTTCAAATAAAAGCCTATTGTTTCGCAGTCAATAGTATTTAATTAGTATTGCTGGTGATTGAGTTGTATGATGTTTTGTTGTGCTGTTGGACCACAAAGAGCTGGAGGTGGGAATCGGTGATTCTGGGGGCTGTCTTCTTTCTGCAGGTGATGTTTGAAATGTGATTCCTGAGGTAAAGTGTTTGTTTTCGGGGGGAGAGGGTATGGGGAGGGATCAAATGGTTAAGTTTTCTTCCTTTTTTTTTTTTCCTCCCCATCCCTAATGATTTGTGGCATTGCGTACCTTGTGCTTTCTGCTTGTTTTTTTCTTTACTATTAAACTGCTGATGTTTATTTCCAGGAATGTTTTGCAAATGTCCTTCTCACTCTTCCCCTCTACAACTGTAGGTACATTGTTCCTTTTTATCAAATAAGCACGTTTGAAGCAAGCCAAAGATAAAATAAGAAAGGTCTTAATGTCACGTAAAGGAATGTTTCTTAATGTGCGCAGATGTATAAGTAGTGACTATATTTTAAAATTCTTCTATATGATAATGCATTGCTTTCAGCTGACAGACAGATTTATGTTAAGTTAGAAGACACGGAGGATTAGAAGCGTGCTGCGAGGAATATGATTTCAAATTAAACTCTACTTACTAAATTTGACTCAGTGCTTGGCTCTCAGCAGGGCTTTGTATTACAGTACTTGTATTGACACCATTTACTTCTAGAAAGAAGAAGCCTTCTATTTCAAACGGCTCTTTTAAAAGCAAAGTAGCCTACTTATTTCTAACTTAACATAAAGTTGTTGCATGGTCTTCTGGGATGATGGGGTGTTCATGCAAGCTTGCATTTCTTCCTGTAGGCGTTCGTTGTGAAACATCTTCTGGAGTATACCCAAGAGAATGAGTCCAACCTGCAGTACAGCTTGTTCTTAGTTTTTGGCATCTTTATGACGGAAGTGGTGCGATCTTGGTCCCTTGCACTAACCTGGGCTTTGAATTACCGCACGGGGGTTAGGCTGCGTGGAGCTGTCTTGACAATGGCATTTAAGAAAATTCTTAAGCTGAAGAACATCAAGGAGAAGTCTCTTGGAGAGGTAAGCTGTAGTGTCATTTTGGAAACTGCAGTGTGAAAAGGGATATGTGATACATTCTTTTGAGAATGAGCTGTGCCTTAAATCTAAATGGTCTGTTATGTGTATTTTTCAGCTCATAAATGTGTGTTCCAATGATGGTCAAAGGATGTTTGAAGCTGCAGCAGTTGGCAGTTTGTTGGCTGGGGGCCCTATTGTGGCCATCTTAGGAATGGTTTATAATGTGATTATTCTGGGTCCAACAGGCTTCTTGGGCTCTGCTGTCTTCATCCTTTTCTACCCAGCAATGGTGAGTTGTAAAGAATTAAGACTTACTTCGTTTTTATTAGGTCAGACATATCTATAGTTCTGAATAGGAGGTGTTGAAATGTACTAGATTTAGCCCATTTATGGTGCTGCATGTCAACAAAGGTATTATTGAAGGTGTTTCTAAAGATGATACGTGAAGCAGAAATTTGGGAACAGGAAGCCCAAAATTAATTAAAAAATGGAGATAGGAAACCTCATAGATCTGACTGAGATGTATAGATGCACAGCTAGACCAAATTGCAAAATGCTGAGGTGCTTGTGGTAAAGGTTGGAAAGACACAAGGCCTCCAGCTTGTGTACAGGAGCTTAGTGTTGCGTGAGCTCATCGCTCTTCAACAAATGGCATTGAAAAGCACTGTATCTAGAGGAGTACGTTCTGGATTAATCCTGCCTCTACTTCTGATGAGCACTGGAATAGTCTAGTTCAAGCCAAAATCTTCTTGCCTCTAAGATGTTGTGTAAGGCTGCTCAAGATGTATCAATGTATTAATTATTAACATTATACAGTTTTATAAAGTGTGGAGGCTGAATGTTGTGAGGTCTACTTTGGTCCATTTTATCTGGCCAGCAGTGAGAATTAAAATAATGGGAATAATATTTTATAAGAGGGGAATGAAGAGCAGAGTTTGGTCGTCTTTCCCAGTTCTTTTCAGCAGTCCTTCTGTATTGATGGGGACTCAAAGAGATTACAGGGGTATGAAGAAGGGCAGGGAGCTGAAAACTTCCAAAATTAGTTTGTTGGCTTTGAATTTCAGACCAGGAATGTAAGAGTAGCAAAACCTTAGAAACATGTGAATGGCTGCTTATTTTTAGATTGGTTTAGTAAAAATGCTAAAAGTGTTTTACCACCTTCATAGCATTGGCATATGGTAGAAGTTGATCTGACTGGCAAAGTCCGGCTTGCTCTTTTGCCTTAAGGGACCAGATTAAAAGGTTGGGTAAATTAGGTTCTACTGTTCATTTGCTGTGAGGGTCAACATGGTGTGTCTTTAGGTTAATGTTTTTATAGTCTTTGTGCTTCAGAAACTTTAACATATCTGGTAGTATTCAATGTTGGTAAAAGCACACACTCTTTATTTTCACAAATTTTGTTTTTGTTTAAACTTGTTATCATGAATCCAGTGCTCAGTGCAGATGGGGTGGGAGAATATGAATAGTATTTCCAGCCTGACTTCTATGTTAGAGCAACAGTTCCTTTGCCCCATCCCTGAATCCCTTTTTCACATTCAGAATTGGCCTTCTCTGGTAATTAGGATGAGTTGAGCATACTTGCTCTGAGTTGCCGTTAATGTTGCATGGTGTTGCTTTTTGTTTCAGATGTTTGTTTCACGCCTCACAGCTTATTTCAGACGAAAATGTGTATCAACAACAGATGAGCGTGTGCAGAAGATGAATGAAGTCCTTAATTACATTAAGTTCATTAAAATGTATGCCTGGGTCAAACCGTTTTCTCAGAATGTTCAAAGTGAGTTCATACAATCTGTAAATATTTCTTTTTGGGCAGGCACCCCATTGCTTAATAGCCTGGTGTCTCCTTGCTTAGTACCATAGATGTTGATGTATATACAATGTAATAACAACACTTTCATCCTTGAGGCTTCCTATTTTTTATGTATGATGGTTTGGACAAACAGACGTGCTTCTAAAGTTTCACTTTCTAGCATAAATATGATTGCTGCTTGGCACTAATCTTAATTTTTCAATTTTAGTTTGGTTTTTTAATAATTTCATTAATGTGCTGGCTGCTTCATTTTTAAATTTAAAATGAGGTATCTATCCTCATGGAGATTTACAGACTGTTATAGTTTGCTCCTTTGTAACTGTGGGCTTTAGATGAGATGGTATATAATGTGATATGTAAGTGCTAAAGCATAGATTTAGGCCTCTTACTCAGTGTTTATAGTGCTATGGTAGAGTCTGTTGTGTATGTACCCCCCAAATCGTACTTCAAATGTAAATATATATTTCTAGAAATTCGTGAGGAAGAACGTAAAATCTTGGAGCGTGCGGGCTACTTCCAGAGCATCACTGTGGGTGTGGCTCCTATAGTTGTAGTCATTGCCAGTGTGGTGACTTTTTCTGTCCACATGATCCTTGGCTACGATCTTACAGCAGCTCAGGTAACTTGCTGCAGTGTTGAAAATGTTCTTTACAATATTGCTACAAACCATTTCTCTTCATCATGTTCTTTGCTTTGTGGCTGTGCTTGTGTGGCCAGACTGTAGCCTTTCTCACAAAAATGAACAGCTGATGGGTGTGACAGCAGCAAATGCAGTCTGATACTTTGCACAAAAATTTCTCAGTGCTGTTTCAGTCCTAGCTTCCTGGAACAGGTTTGGAACTGAAGGCAAATGAGCACTCATGTTTGCTATTCATGGCATATGGGTTACTGGATGTTTCTGATTTACAGTGTGCTTGGATGCAAACAGCACAAATTTCTTGCAACAAGATTTGAACTTGGGTCTTCTCAAATAATATGCTAATGCAGAATTTGCTAGCTGCTGCTCTCAAAAGACTTCCAAACCCAAATATGGAAGATGTCTCTCTTGGTCTGTTACAAAGCACAGGAGAAAGAGTTGGGTAGATCTGCTGTTCTCTGCCATTTGAGAATATGTTGGAAATTTAAATGGTTATTCTTGGACTGTGGTCCTTTTCCATGGGTTTGGATTGCTGCTGTGACACTTCACCTTTTAGAAGGTTAGAGTTGTTAGTATATTGCATCCAAATGTGATTCTCTTTCTTGTTTCATTTTTAGGCATTCACAGTGGTCACTGTCTTCAATTCAATGACTTTTGCACTAAAAGTAACACCTTTCTCAGTGAAGTCTCTGTCTGAGGCATCTGTTTCTGTTGACAGATTTAAGGTAAGCAGTCATTTTGGCTTGCGGTTTTAACTGTAAGTGTGGAGTGTTCTATGTGTATAATAGAAGTTAAGGGGAGACTTGGAAGGCTATGTTCATTTTCTCTACACTTGGTACTCCACATTATTGGATTCTGCAAAACAGATACAAATCTAGTGAAGAAATATTAGAAATTTAAGATGATGCCAGTGAGAGAAGGAAAATATTTAATGATTTTAGGATTTTTGTGTTAGCCCCTGTAGGAGATAGAATACAAGACCAAATGGCTCTCAGTATAATAATTCTTAAACTCCCTTTTGAGACCATCTGCACGAAAAGACAGTGCAACATGTCTCCAGTGAAATTTTGTGTTATGCTAATGAAATTCCTTTTGGAAATGCCAAGTATTATGTAGGGAGCTTTGCACAAACTAGTAAAGTTTTATTTGTTGTCATGAAAAACTGAGGTTTTATGTTTCCAGGCCAGATCAAAGTGACTGAAACTCCATTCTTTGAATAGAATGCAGTTGCTATCTGACAAAACAGAATCTACGGCAGAAAATTAAAACCCGTATATAAGCAGTCTTATCCTTCAGTCCCTGTGGAGTGAATATGTTGTGTATACTTCAATATGAATTCAAAGGACAGGCCTTTATTTTGGCTTCTCCCTTGAAGACATTGCAGAAATTTCCGAACAGGATTCCACAAGCATTGACAGATAGGTGGATCCTCTGTAATGCATTCATGAAACATGTATGGGTGTGAGGAGATTGGGATCTGCATAAAGGTTTTGAAATACCATTGCTTTTGAACATTTTTGTTTCATCATCTGAGTTATGCCAAATCGGGCTTTTTAAAATCCTATGCATTGAAGGGAGTTCGGGGGGAGGAGAAGAGAAGAAAGGAAATTGTAATATTTCCCAGTTTGACTGTAAAAAGTGTAATCTTTGCAGGGTGTATAACAAAGGGTGGGGGTACTCTTAACATCACAGTAAGAATGTAATTAACTTCTTGGCTCTGTACATGAGTATAAGCTTTTTTGCGAATGTATGATTTAGGCATAACAATTGCAAGAATAAGGCTGAGAATTGAGAAGTCTTCACAAAAGGCTTCTTAGTTCAAAACATAAATTATGTAAGTGGGAAACACTTTTTTTATCTTGTTCTTAAACTGTGTAAAAATATCTTCCTAATCTGTGTTGATTGTAAATACTGATGGATGTGGTGGAAAACGTGATACAATGAACTTAATGGCTTACTACTTACTGTCAAGCAGCCTACAATATATAGGTCAGCTAAATTTGTGTGGGATGACTTTTTCCCAGCAGAAAAGTTGAAGGGTAAAGGCTGAAGTGAAAAGTCATTCTATCTCCATCATTCTGTCTCTTTCTGTAATGAGTTGGTGTGTAGGACGAGTCAGTCACTTTCCCCCAAAGTGACCTCTCCTTACCAACTGATGTATTCTACTCATGGCTTTAATCTGGAAGTTACAGAGCTGCAGTTGCAAACAGTGTTAAAAGAATAAGCTCCTCTCGTACCACATCAAGAGTATTGCAGTTCTGTAAAAAATCTGTGCTTCAAAGTGTTTCCACCACATCCAGGAATGCCCCGGCCACTTAGCAGGCCTGGAGTTAGTTTACACTAATGAGCTACCTTTTGCTCTTCAGCTTCCTCCTACTGTATAGCCTGATGTGTTTTGCTGCGTGAGTGTGCCATAGGCTTGTCTCCCAGTCTTGATCAGGTGTCTCATCTTTACACCTCTCTCACAACTCCTATCAGAGTTTATTTCTAATGGAAGAGGTTCATATGATAAAGAAAAAACCAGCCAATCCTCACACCGCGATAGAGGTGAAAAATGCTACCTTGGCTTGGGAATTCTCCCACGCCAGCGTCCAGAGCTCACCAAAGTTGACCCCCAAAGTGAAAAAAGACAAGAAAGTCACCAAGGGCAAGAAAGAGAAAATGAAGCTACAGAATGAGGGACAGCAAGCTGTGCTGGCAGAGCAGAAGGGCCATCTTCTAGTGGACAGTGATGACCATCGTAGCCCCGAAGAGGAGAACAAAATTATCCACCTAACTAACTTTCGGCTTCAGAGGACTCTGTACAACATTGACTTAGAGATAGAAAAGGTAAGAGAAGAAAGGAGGAAATCTGAGCTTTCAAAAGGCCTCATTTTTAGCAGTCCCTTGGAATAGAGAGCTGTGTATTTTTGCATGAAATGGAGCACATTACTTTTGTGCACTCCTGTAATATCCATGGCAACTGCAGTATCCAGGATGCAGGGTCTGATCTTGCTGTAAACAGCTGTGCCATTTTAGCAAATTAGATCTTTACCAGCAGCCTACAAAACAAGTGCAGGTTGTATAGCTTTCAGATCTGATGGGTTTGTTCTTTGTAATTCTTTTTACAGTACATGAGCCATTTAGTTTAAAGAATCAGCAGGGCAACAGGCTTATCAGTGAGGTTTTGGTAGGTGGTGTGTTCCTGCAGCCATTCGATAATTTGGCAGGGTTTCAGCTATGTTCTGGGTGAACATTTTAGGTGATTAGGTGTTCTAATGGAGCCTAAGAGCGCTTTTCATTGAAGAGCATACAATTTTTTTTCCTAGAGAATGTTTGTATGGTAGAAGTACACAGATTTTTAAGAATTTAAAAGTGGTTGCAGTCCTTATTCGAAGATGGGTAAAAGCATGTAAAATGTCAAAGAAAAAGCCTTGAATATACTACATGACATCTACAAATACAAAAGTTTTGCAATTTGGCAGTTGGATGTTGTAGTAATAGGTTCCATGCATTTATCAGGGTATTTATGGTTAAATTGTGTTCCGTAGTCATATGAATAGAGAGATTAAACTATTTTAAGCTATTAAAACCCCTATATTTTAAATTTTGAGGAGGATGCTATAGTTTAAAAAATAGCCATGAAAAAGGAGTATGCAGTTACATGAAAATGTAAAGGCTATATTTTTCTGTCAGAAGCTTGTAAATGAGAGGAGGCAAAGAGAGAATACAGCAATGTATTCTGTGGCTACATACCTTTTTTTTATATACAAGTGACTATATACCCTTTTTGTCTGCTTTACATTTTTTACACAAAAGGAACAAAAATAGTTCTGATTAATTCATTGTTTAATGTGGGTATCAACCCATCCATTTTATTTCAGAGAAATGCTTCAACGTGACTTGTCTCTAGCCTTTTCTTGACATGTGTTCCTTGGTAAACTGTATCTCATAGGCAAGGAGCTTTAATGGACCCAAATATCCTAAGTTCTGCTTTTCTTTCGGTCTTTCTCCTCTTTATATTTTCCCTTACCACTCTCAAAAGCATCTTGGTGTGTTCTGTTCAGGCAGGCCTTAGTGCTTTTGACTGAGTGCAGCATTTTCTGGGCCTGTATCAGGCTCAGTCAAAGGGAAGCTGATCTTAAAATACATTAATTTTTACCTGTAGCATTGATGTGATTTTAGTCCATTGTGGGATCTTATTTACCCTTTATTGTTTGAGAGTTAAAATACTGTCTTGTTTTTTTTTTGTCTGTTATGTCCCTTTTTAGCTGTCGCTAATGTCCAGCTGACACTTCGGAGGTACAAAAGGTAGTCCAAATTCTGAAAGGGGTGGAGTATGTAAGGAATGGATACCATAAATTATTTTTTCTCTGTCTAGGGAAAACTTGTTGGAATTTGTGGCAGTGTGGGGAGTGGAAAAACTTCACTTATCTCGGCCATTTTAGGACAGGTGAGAATTCCTGTTTTGACTACTTCTGTTCTTCTCTCTCCTCTTGTTTCACTTCTCTGTAGAAGAGAGCCTATTCTAAACATGGAATAGTGTAATTTCACAGTTTTATCTTTAATTTCAGATGACCCTGTTGGAGGGTAGCATTGCAGTAAGTGGAATGTTTGCATATGTGGCCCAGCAGGCCTGGATTCTCAATGCTACACTTCGAGACAACATTCTTTTTGGCAAGGAATATGATGAAGAAAGGTTTGTCAGAACTGTTTGCTGATTTTCATGAAAGCTTAGTAATTCTTGGCTCGAATGTGAGAAAATTTAATGCAGACTATACTGCAGTTAAAGCCTATGTATCCTTTTAGAGTCTGTCTTTAAGTCTCATTTAAGAACCTGTCTCTCTTGCATGTGGTCTCTATGGTTGTCAGCATGTCTGTCATTGCTCATTTGCAATGAAGGCTGTACCTCATGCTGGAGTATTGTCTGACCCCTGTTTTTAGCAGCTGCTGTGGAGCAGCACTGCAGTGTCTTTTCTGTCCTGGTCTTTCTTTAAACACAGCTGCTGCTTGCAGTGTATTAGCATCTTCCATGGTTCTTCCCCCGCCAGGCCTTTCCTGTAGCCTGTGCTAGCTATCCCTGTAAAGAAATTGCATCCTTACCTTCACAATACTTCATAGAATCATTTAGGTTGGAAAAGATCTTTAACATCAAGTCCAACCATTAACGAAGCACTGCCAAGTCTACCACTAAACTGTGTCCCTCAGTGCCACATCCGCATGTCTTTTAAATACTTTCAGGGATGGTGACTTAACCACTTCCCTGGGCAGCCTGTACCAATGCTTGACAATCCTTTTGATGAAGAAATTTTTCCTAATGCCCAATCTAAACCTTCCCTGGGGCAACTTTGGGTTAATTCCTCTTGCCCTGTTGCTTGTATCTGGGAGAATAGACTGACACCTATGTTGCCACAACCTCCTTTCAGGTAGTTGGAGAGTGAGAAGGTACCCCCTGAGCCTCCTTTTCTCCAGGCTGAAAGCCCTCAGCTCCTACTGGGTAGTTGATTAATTATTATCTGCAATTCCCCCCAGGAATCCAAGGCAGATCATTTGTTTTAAGCTGCTGGTGTGTTTGCTGTCAGTATAGAAAGTGAGATAGTGCTGTACTAGCTAGTGAAAACTAGTGTTCTTACTATTTATCTCTTTGTTCTTTAGATACAATACTGTGTTGAATGGTTGCTGTCTAAGGCCTGACCTAGCCATACTTCCAAATGGGGACCTGACAGAGGTAAAAATTTTGCTTATAGTCAAGTAATTAGTAGATGGAGAAAGCAGTTTTGGTTTTGCAGACTAGACTGGAGTGAGAGGAACATCGGTCTGGTATGCATGTAAGCTGAATGTACTTTTTTGAGCTCAATTTATCAGTGCAGGCCATTGGTTATTGAGAGTTGTGCCATATTTTTGCCTTGGATGTTGATGTTTGAGAGTTTTTGTGTTGTAGATTTACATGCCTTAACAGGGACCTATTTAAACTTGATTTAAAATAGCTAAGGAAAAAAAGCATGGATTTTTTAATACAAAAAAAAAGTTAAATAAGCAAAATACTGCTACATCTCAAGCAAACTAACTGAGTTTAAATGTATAACACATTTCACAAAGAAGTGGACACCTAAAGTGGAATATATATAGTATTAAACCAATATATAGTATTATGGGTGTGTGTGCATGTATACATAAATAACAATCTTATGGACTACTTTATCTCTGTCACCTCTTGAACTCTGAGTATCTGTGTTGCATGGTGCTGTAGAAATAAATAACAGGTGTGTGTCTGTACAGATTGGTGAACGAGGGGCTAACCTGAGTGGAGGACAGCGTCAGAGGATCAGTCTGGCTCGAGCCCTGTACAGTGACAGGGACATTTACATCCTTGATGACCCCCTTAGTGCCTTAGATGCTCATGTTGGAAATCACATTTTCAACAGTGCAATAAAGAAGCACCTGAAGTCAAAGACTGTCCTTTTCATCACTCATCAGCTTCAGGTATTTTATCTCTCACTTTTTTTCTGACTTTCTTAATGTTGTTTAGTCAGTTGTCTTCATACTATAAATTTCTATGCCTTGAACTGTTACAGCACAATCCTGTCTGCCTATAGAATGCATTGTTTACAAACTAGGTTTGCAAATATGCCTGGAGCACAATCTAATTCTTTGATACCAGTGCTGCTTGGTGTCTGACTGGGACTGTTAGCATTTGGCTAAAGAAAACCCCACTTTTACTAACTTGCTTCAAAGCTTCGTTACATCAGAAAACACTTAGATTTGGTGTCAGTAAATTGGAATTGATGTAATCTGAGTGTCGTGTCCCCCATCTCCCCCGTCCCCCCCCCCCATCTTCTGTGCATAGAAATATTGATACTTGGTTATATCAGTATTTGCAATGTTTAAGTATCCTGAATTGTGTCATCCATAACAGATTGGCTTTGATAGAACATAAAAACTTTATTTGTGTAGGGCGAGAGTAATCTCGGTGCTCTAGTTGACGTAGGACCTTTGAATATTAGAATTCTGTTACAGAAGAAGAGCTGTGTTGTATGCAGATGACTGTAAATTACTGAAAAGTATTGTGTGGGAGTGTGATGGTCACACGTAGTGATAGAGGCTTGTTCTTACTGCCATTTTCTCCAGTATCTTGTTGACTGTGATGAAGTGATCTTCATGAAAGAAGGCTGCATTACTGAGCGAGGAAGCCATGAAGAACTGATGAATTTAAATGGGGACTATGCAACTATTTTTAATAACCTACAGCTGGGAGAAACACCCCATATTGAGGTACTTCTTTATTTTGAGGTGCTCTGAATGTTGACTTATGAGATGAACCAAATGATGTAGTTGGAAGATGGGAAAATGGCTTCACACATTCATGTGTTGATCTGACCAATAGATTTCCTGTAGAACAATCTGTGCTTCATTAGCACTTTGTATTTGCAGTCATGGTTCATGTTTAGGGAATTCATAGTAGAAGGACTCTGCTGATGAACTCATGAGTTGAACATGAAAGTAATGTATTATCTCCGCTGGTGATGTTCAAAGCAGGAAGCCTGTCTCTTTTATCTTACACCTCACTTCTTAATTTATCTCCAAATTAGCACAGACCTGAAAAAACCTTTGTGTGAAAAAATTCTTTTGTTACTTCTTTTTCACATGGGTGTGTCTGAGGCACAGCAAAAGTGACGCAGTTTGTCAAAAGTTAGGTGTGATGGCATTTTGGAAATGTAATGAAAAATGCTTTGCTGGGAGCGAGGGGGAGTTGACTGTTGCTTGACATTGTGCTATGAAACTGACTGTAAATTCAGACTTGTGCTCCAGTATTATAGTTCGTGGAAAAAATGTAAATCTAGACAATAACAAGAGCCATTCAGTAGGACATGCATTGAAATTACCAGATATCTATTTTTTCCACCTTTCTCCTGCTTATTTCCTGAAGTTATTCTTTGGAGTAAGCAACTTTGCTGCTTTATATTTGATGATGATTTACTTCTTTAAGTCTTGTGTGCATTTTCTCTTAGTAAGGAGAGATTAAGAAGCACATCAGTAGTTTATTTCTGAAGAGATGAGAGGCTCCTTATTTATAAGTTGCAGACATTTAAAAAAATAAAATTACTGAAAAGGTGGCATTGTGATAAATACACAGATATAGAAGGTGCTTGGTGAAATTTTTTCCTGGGAGATGCCAGTAAAAGAAGTAATAGAATATAATGCATTACTCTGCATATCTTGAGGCATGAAGATGATACTTCTGCCATTTTAAGATTAATGTAGTGGTAGTTAACATGAGCTTCTCCAGTCTGCATCCTTGTCTGACCTTTGCTGTCTCTCTGTAAAGACTAGCTCATGGAAAGAGCATTCATTTGCCTTCCCTATGAGATAAGAAGAAATGGATGATAAAGTTAGATTCTCTGTGGTTTGACGTATGTAAGATGTTTCTTCTCACGTCAAGTGTGGGAAGATGATGCTGAGGATGGTATGTAGGTGTTTTCAATTAATGTAGACTGTTCTGAACACGTCATAACTTTCATTTGTGGGGAAAATGGCTGGGTTTAGAACAGTAAGTGCAGTTTAGTGTTTGGACGTTTGACTTCTGAAAGACCAAGTTGACCTGACTTCATCCTTACAGATGTTTCATGAGAGCTTTCCTGAATGAAGCACTAGAGTGTTTGGGGCAAAAAAGCCTTTTAATAAAATTGAGTTATTTTTAAAAGGGACAGGGAATTGTATCTTTCATTCTTCTCTGTTGTATGCTCATAGTGTCACTGATTCTGGAAATTAACCTTGCATGTTACTAATACAGACTGGTAGCAGTTCAGATTAAGAGAGGAGGAGAATTTAATACACTAGAATTGGCAATCATCTGTAATAACAGCAAAGTTAATATCCTCTGTGATATGAATGCTAAACTATTGAAAGCTTTTGTCTTTAGCCAGCAGCATGTAAGAAGTTTGGGTTCAGATATGAAAATGTCAAAGCAAAGTACTTTGGTGTGTTTAATGTCATTGTTTTTCTGCAGATTAATATAAAGAAGAATGCAAACAGTTCACTGAAAAGACCCCAGGATAAAAGTACCAAAACAGGGTCTGTGAAGAAGGAGAAAGTTGTAAAGAAGGAAGAGGGTAACTGTGTAATCGGATTTCTCGGTGTAATTATTTTATACACCCAATATGCTTAAAATACTTGCTTTCAAAGTATTTTATGAAAATACCTCTCTGGTTTTGAAAGCTTTCTCAAGTCATGGTCACTCAACATGGATGATAGGGTATGGGCAGCAGCCAAAGAACATTCATTAAATATGTGTCAGTGTTTAAGTTGAGTCAGGCTGCTGCTGGTCAGAACATCAGCACAAAGGAGCTGTAATACCCTGTCTCTTGGACCACCTCTCCCTTTTGTCCTAGAGGGCAATGCGTATAGCCTGGAACTCACGGAGTCTTAGCCAGGACATGGCATTTATGTATGAAGAATTAGAAGGTCTGACGTTTATTCTGTGGCTCCCTGTTAATTTTGAACTTTAAGCAGTGCTTAAAAAGCATTAGAGAGTCTGATACTAGCCTAGTGCTTAAGTCTGTGCTGAGGAAGCTTTTTCAAACATACCATGATGTGAATAATTCTGCAGGTGAAATGTGATTTTTTTTTTTAATAACAGTTTGAATTATTGAGTTCTATGTATTATGTCTGTGTTTCTGAAAGTACTCTGCAGTCTGAAAATTACTGTAGTTTTGCACATGTTCACAAACTTACAGAAGTTTCACGGAACAGCTTGCTTTTTCTCACTCCCTTTTCTTCCTCCTCTTTTGTTTCACAGGCCAGTTGGTCCAGTTGGAAGAGAAAGGCAAAGGCTCTGTCCCCTGGTCTGTTTATGGCGTCTACATTCAGGCAGCTGGAGGTCCTTTTGCTTTCCTTGTCATCATGGCGCTGTTTGTGCTGAATGTGGGCAGTACAGCTTTTAGCAATTGGTGGCTGAGTTTCTGGATCAAGCAAGGCAGTGGAGTAAGATAAATCGCTTTTCTACTCTTTGTGTATTTGGGACTTTTCCCACTCTAGGGGCTTTGATTGCAAGTCTTGTTGCTTTTAAAGATTCAAAGATAACTGCAAGATTTTTCTGGGGGAGGAGAAGGGGAAACAAGCTACTAATCTCAGAAAAAATAATGAATTGCAGATGGCCAGCAATATTAAAATAAGCAATGAGGTCCTTAAACATAAATAATAAAAAAAAGGTGTGTGACAGTAAAGAAGTTACTGCATACTGGCAGAAAATAACAACTGTGTTGGATAAGACTATGCAACGTATTCAAGGAGTGGTGGTATGAAAGTATCCAACATTGTTCAGAAGAACACAAGAAAGAAGCGTGAAATGAGGGATTAGGAATCGGGTGAAGTAGGTATAGTGGTAGCTTTTTCAAATATGTTGCAGGAAAAAGGCCAAGGGCTACAAAGCTGCAAGTCAGCAATCTCTAAGGGAATCTTTCTAAAGTGTTCAAAGTACTTCATTTAAAGAAATATCAAATATAGTGTGAGGGGACACAAGACTCTAAAGTTCTAGCATGTGTAATGTGTACATGCTTGATCCTTATCTTAGCTGTTCACTGAAACCTTGAATTTTCTGCAGAACACTACTGTGACTTTGGGAAATGATACTGTTGTAAGCAACAGTATGAAAGATAACCCTCATATGCATTACTATGCTGGCATCTATGCACTGTCTATGGCAGTTATGTTGATCCTGAAGGCTGTTCGTGGTGTTGTCTTTGTAAAGGTATGTGCCAATGCTCTTATTTTTCTTATCTTTGCCACATCCCTTCCCCCTCCTTCCACATATTGCTGTCACCGTGATTCTTTTGGTCACCTCCCAAGATTGACTTTTGAATCGGAGGAAGTCAGATCAGATTGTGAGGGTTCCATAAGTCAACTCTTGGGACTGCACCATGATTTCTGTTAATCTTCTGCCCAAATTAATAGCTTCCTCCCACTATTTGGAAGCACAGAATGTAAGGGAAAAAAAACCCTTAGGGTTGAAGAAAGAAAATGAGCAGAGTGTTTTGGTGCCTGGGGAGGTCCAGTGATGGAAAGGCAAATGTCTTTCGTAATGCTGCAATGTTTTCTGCATTGTCAGGGAACTCTCAGAGCATCCTCAAGGCTCCATGATGAGCTCTTCCGACGGATTCTGCGTAGCCCCATGAAATTCTTTGACACTACACCCACTGGACGTATTCTCAACAGGTTTTCCAAAGACATGGATGAAGGTATCTCCCACTGTATGCACTGTAAATCCCACATTCAGACCTCAGTTAACGCCTTTATATTCTCTGGTCTCTTTTTATTGGGGGGATCATATCCTGTATCTGTTGCCAAATGTGCACTTGGAATAGATGAAGCCAGAATTGGGACATACTTAGGTTATGACTGTAGAAGGCAGCTGATCTCAAGTCTGTCTGTTAACTTATAAAGAAGAAAATGTGCAGCTGCTTTTGTACCTATAGACTGCACATGGACTCTTAGCAGTTAATGGTATCAGGGTGAAGCTGATGTTCAGCAAAGTAGTAATTACATCAGAATTGTATCCATGGTATTTCTGCAAATGGGAATACTTGGAAAGACTACTAGTGCCTCAGAAGACAAAAGCACCCTTGATGAAAATGTACCTTTTTAATCTCAGTAAACCATGAGAAATCACCATCCTTAATGATGATGATCAGCTGTACTGAATTGCTTTAAATAGGTTGTTTGAGCTTTCTGTACTCAAGATCTTCCTCTTTTCCCTCCATTTTTTTCAGTTGATGTTCGTTTGCCATTTCAAGCAGAAATGTTCATTCAGAATGTCATCCTTGTGTTCTTCTGTGTGGGGATGATTTCTGGGGTTTTCCCCTGGTTCCTGGTGGCTGTGGGACCCCTCATTGTCCTGTTCACAGTCCTACATGTTGTGTCTAGGTAAGTGCAGCTTCTTTGACTAAAAGTAAAGATGCTTTAACCTATTAGTAAGAACATAGGTTTCTTCGAGCATATATGCATTTATGTAGTGGTTGGCATATGGTGCTTGTATTTGTCACTTAAAAATGGTTGTGTCCTTTCAGAGTTTTTATTCGAGAGCTCAAGCGTCTGGACAACATCACACAGTCTCCATTCCTGTCTCATATTACATCTAGCATCCAGGGTCTATCCACAATCCATGCCTACCACAAAGGACAGGAATTTCTGCACAGGTCAGTCTGGATATTCATCTGAAAGTCGTGGAGCACAAAGCAGGGTGCAACAGGTTACATTCAGAATGATTAATTAATGGGTTCTGTAGCTGATGGCATGCAGATTTGCCCTAGAAGGTGAAAGTTACTTTTCTGGGCCAAAAATAAAAGAGAACAATTAGAAAGGGTGAGGGAAAACTCCCCAGTAGCCAAGTAGAACAGTGGTGGAGTCCTGTGTGAATGCCCTTCTATGGAGTTCTCCGCAGCAGAGCAGGCGGCAGTGATGATGGTGAGGACAACTTTTTGGCCATACTTTTTCTCTGGTAGTGTATACTTCCCATCAGGTCCTGCTCATACTTCCTACTGGTTGTTTCTCCTTTGGTATTAGCATTAGCTTAGAGCATGCTAACAAAAACTCAGTGTGCATGTTGATGATCTGTTAGTTTCTGTGTGCATATATGTAGTTGGATAGTACTTATCAAGTATTTAAGTGATTGTTAGCTGCCTTGTGCACTATGCTTGTTTTCTCCTAGCATAAACTAAAATCTGCAAAACAGATGTTAGTGAGGGAAAGTGAAACATTTCTCAAGTGAGTGGTAGCTGCTCATGAGAACCCGCCATAACAATTACCAGGGTTTTGCAGGTGCAAGGTCATGAGACCAACAGTGTTAGGGTACAGGGATAATTGCCACAGAAGCTCTGGAAAAACACTGCTACACCAGTTTAGATAAGAAGCTGTGAAGGTGCAAATAGTCTCTTAGCATTGCTGGTGCTAGAGTGCTAGGCACTGCACACACTGTGCAACAGTGATTAGTGTAAAACTGAGTTGAATGATCAGAAAATCTAGTTATTGGCTTTGTGAATGTCTCAAGTGTCTCCCCTTAAATACACTTTCTCAGCTCTGCAGTGTCAGGATTGTAAATAAAGTGGTTATTTATGAGTTTTAATTAGTGTCACTAATCCTGTCAAAACTTGCTGTAACTTTTATATGCTTATGTATAAAATAACATGTTCTATGCATATTCTGAAGCTCTGCTGCTGTTGCCTGTGGAGTAATTTGTAGCCATTGAACATCCTCTGGAAGGTCTTGCATAGGTGAAGTTGTGAAAATATGTGTACTATCCCTGAGTTTTGGTTCATCCCAGTGTAGTTAGTTCATTGTTGTACACAGCGTTGGGGAGAAGCTGCTGCCTGAGTGTTCATACACCACTCAAGGAATCGCAGACACATAACCCAAGACTTTAACTGCTATGACTGAAGTCTCCTCACAGAGGGTGGCTCCAGTGAGCCAATGGATATCCCTTTTGACTTCCTTGCATGTGTGCGCACCTGTGCCTTTCTAGTCCAATGATGATTTTTTGGTCTGGGGTCTTCTAATACCTTATTGGATTCACAGCCCAAGGCTTCAGCAAGTCTAGCTACTCATGCTAAGCAAGTAAAGCTAAGCCAATAGCATGCTAAACCACACAATATTATAACTCTCACTTAAACTATTTAAAACTTACTTATTTAAGCTAAATAACTCGTATCTCTGAACACACAGAAACTTGGTAATTTGACTTCCAAAAGTTTGAGCTAAATATCTAATGTGATTTGTGAAAGTTTGTAAACCCTGCTCTCATGGCCTAGTTAGAGATTTTGTCAGAGATGGGCTAGTCTTCTCACCCTAAATTCTGGTGCTGGAACAGGGGTTTAAGCGGCTCTGCTATTTGTAGAACATTAGGCTTGTGAAAGTTGACTAACCTTTCCTGTATTTGTTTCAGATATCAGGAGCTCCTAGATGACAATCAGGCACCATTTTACCTGTTCAGCTGTGCAATGCGCTGGCTAGCTGTACGGCTGGACATTATCAGCATTGCTCTCATCACAACCACTGGCCTTATGATTGTCTTAATGCATGGCCAGATTCCTCCTGCCTATGCTGGGCTGGCAATCTCATATGCTGTCCAGGTGAGTATGTCCACATATGTAGTTACTGCTAATAATTAAAGGTAATACACCATTGAAAGCTTTCCTTAATGCACTAGAATGGAAGACAATACTGCTCCCATTTTGGTAATGGAAGGAAAAGTAATTCAGAGTTGGGACCTTCTGCTAGTAGCCAAATTACAAATTATGAGGAGCCGTATGGTTAAGACTATTTTTTGGGAGTTGCCTTTCTTTAAATGGTGAAGTGGAAACCATTTGAGGCTCTTTATATGCTGCAAATTGCAATTTTTCTGGATATTTCCAGAAATTGGATTGGTAGTATGAAAGACATGTGCCATACTGATGTCTGAATATATTTTCTGCTGTATGTTTTCACAGCAAACAGTATCCAGAATTGCAGCTGTGCGGGTTTGTTAGACTTCAGGGCTCAGAATACTTGCAAAGCTGTTGTTTGGTCTTTTCTGCCTCCTGGTGGTTTTAAAGTGAAACTACAAAGCAGATGACTGATACCCAAAACTGTTGCTTGCAGGATATTTTTCTAAACTTTTGACTTTACAAGTGATTAATAAATTACAGTTATTCTTAAATTAACTATGAAGTAAAATTAACTTGCCTTGGGCACCTTAGCTGTGTGGTGCCCAATGCCAAGAGTACTTTTGTCAGATATCATAAAATCATAGAATCATTTAGGTTGGAAAAGACCTTCAAGACCATTGAGTCCAACCATTAACCCAGCGCTGCCATGTCCACCACTAAACCATGTCCCTTAGTGCCACGTCCACATGCCTTTTTAATACCTTCAGGGATGATTACTCCATCATCTCCCTGGGCAGCCTGTTCCAGTGCTTGACAACTATTTTGGTGAAATTTTCCTCATACCCAATCTAAACTTCCCTGGTGCAGCTCGAGGCCATTTCCTCTTGTCCTATTGCTTGTTACTTGGGCGAAGACACCAACCCCCACCTCACTGCCCCCTTCTTTCAGGTAGTTGTAGAGATCAATAAGTTCCCCCCTGAGCCTTCTCCACACTGAACAGCCTCAGTTTCCTCAGCCACTCCTTGTAAGACTTGTACTCAGACTCTTCACCAGCTCTGTTGCCCTTCTTTGGACATGCTCCAGCACCTAAATGTTTGTCTTGTAGTGAGGGACTCAGAGCTGAATACAGGATTTGAGGTGCAGCCTCAGCAGTGCCGAGTATGGGGGGGATGATCACTTCCCTAGTCCTGCTTCAGCACCATCCATTAGGTTAATCTCTTAATTCAATAATAAATCACAGCTCTCTAAATTTCTTTGTTTTCTCCCATCACTACAGTTAACAGGGTTATTCCAGTTTACAGTCAGACTTGCTTCAGAGACAGAAGCTCGCTTTACCTCAGTTGAGAGAATTGATCACTATATCAAGGTAGGATAATAATACGTTTCAGTTGCCTGTTGTAAAATTTCTTGTTGCTGGCGTAAGAGGAAAGAAAGTTGGCCATAGTCTGCCTCAGTGCAGAATGTATGTTTCTGATCTTGTATACACATTAACACACATGTTGTAATACTGCAGAGTGCATTTTTCTTGTGAGGCATGTATATAAGCATTGGCAAGATGAATGGCACAAGAGCTAGTAGGTAATAAGCTTAAAGGTGTTACTTGGCTGACATTGTCATCACTGAAGTTACATAAGGATGTTGAAAGTTTGCCTTCAGTAAGGCATGGAGTATGTGGAAGGGGTAGCTAGGAATTCAGTATGATGTTTTACAGTAAAATGATGGTCTTCTGGCATCCTTCATTCCAAACATAATGGAGCTCCTTCATTTAAGCATAGTAACTGTTTGTTACTTTATCTATATGTAATTCTGCTTCATCCTCATAAGTCTACTTCTTTTTCCACAACTGTCTTATGTAACATTTCTATATGCTTAAAAAGTCAAGGAATTGCTCTCATTGCAGAACTGAGTATAGGTCAATGGGGAGAGTGTAGCCAGGAGAAAGCCTACTGGGTCTGGTCTCTGAGGTGAAAGGTTTTTTACTTCACATATTACACATTCCCTCTAAACTCTGGAGGGAGATACATATCTATTTCATTAATCTGGACTATGTAGTAGTTGATATTCTTAGAACACTTTTTTAATCTGTGGATTTAATACTGAAGAGAAAATAATTAAGCTGCCCAGTTCCCCAGCTGAAGAAATAAATCCTCTAAGTAGAAAATTTCTATGTGGAAGGCTTGGTGACTGCACAAGCTCACAACTGTGTGCCAAATACTGCCTGGTATCTTTCACTGGGCTGAGATGGGTTTATCGCTGTCAGTGGCAAGGCCTGTAGTTGTAGGCTGTTGGTTTGGTTGATTAAGTTATTGTCTATCATTATATATTGCTGTTAAGCAACATTTTCTCTGGTGTTTATTATTTGGATCTCTAGACGGCCATTTTATTATGAAACTATAAAACAAGCTTGAATCTAAAGTGAAGGGGTGGATGAGCAGTGAAACACTGTACAGGTTCTGTGTCTTACAAGTCCCAGTCTTGGCTTCTTTCAGTGAAGGCTCAGAGGCTGCTCTTCTGAGCATCAAGCTCAAAGAATTGTAGTACTATTGTTGCAGGTAGCTGTTTTCTCAAACTTTTGGAGTCCAGTTAATGTCTTAGAGTAGGTATTGCAGATGGTCCACAACTGACTTTTCAATAGTCAGTGTAGGAAATTAGCATCTCCAGAGGGCAGTTTGTTACCTGTTCTAAGTGCTTATATTAGAATGAGAAAAATCAGTAACGCTGGCTGCTTTGCAGTGACTATGAAGGAGTTGATGCACCTGGTTTATTTGGAGATAGATTGTTACTTTGTATGTGTTTAAAGTTACATGAGGTGAATCTGACAGTGGGATTTCTGTGTTCTGTGGGGCTGCTTGAAGCAAATACGGGAAGTGACCTTGGCTTCATCCTGAACATATATAACATGTGCTATAAAGGAAGTGGCAGAGTAAAATTGCAGAAGTGAGCAAGCTGGAAGGGCCCCAGCTGACTCAGTGATTTAATAGAACAGGGGCAAATGAGGAAAAAAAAGAAGAGCATTCGTCCAATGTGTTATTTGAGTGTTCTTTCCTGTGTCAGGATCCACAGAGGTGACCCTAGCATGACATAGCAAATGAGACATAGAAATACAGTAGATCTTTTGTCCAGAAGCATTCAGGCTTTGGAGTGCCACAGAACTCGATAGGGTTTTACCCATAAATAATAGGCCTAAAATACATTTTGAATTCCATTGATCAAAACCATTGGTGCATTAGAAGGACCAGTGTCATTATTAAGGCAAGGAAAGGGTACTAATAGTGTAGTCAGTAACACAGTAGACTTCTGAACCACTGGGCCCACATCCAGTTATACAACTCATCATAAAACTGGTGTGGGCCAAGTCTGCAGGGAAGAACTCCTGCTGAAAGCTGCAACTGATAATTTTCCTTTCTGTTGTTTTGTTTACTGGAAGCTGAACTTCTGGGTTTTGGGTTTTGTTTTTATTTTTAAAGACACTTTCCCTGGAAGCTCCTGCTCGAATTAAAAACAAGACTCCTCCTCTGGACTGGCCACAGGAAGGTGAAGTTGTTTTTGAAAACGCAGAGATGCGGTACCGAGAGAACCTTCCTCTAGTACTTAAAAAAGTGTCCTTTACCATCAAACCGAAGGAAAAGATTGGCATTGTGGGAAGGACAGGCTCAGGTAAGGAAACACCAAGCAGTTACATTACTGCTTTTGCAGAATGGGAATGTAATAGAGTGGGACAGTCCTATTGGTTCTCCTCTGGTCTTCTCTGTGGTTGAGTAAATTGTTAATTGTACAGGAATTATCTGTCACTCTGTTGGTGGTTATTTCATGGGCATACATAAACAGGATCCTGTAAACAATAATGAAGGCAAGCTTCAATTTAATGTAGAGGGATATCTTATTATACCTAAGCCGGTGTGCTCATAATGTTTAACACCCAAGCTGCTTATTGGCACATATTGGCTGCTTATTGGCACATATTGGCTGCTTATTGGCTGCTCATTGCAGCTTATTTGACTCTGTTGAAAGTTTTATTTACTGATGCTGCAGCCAGGTTTGACTCTAAGCTATCTGAGAAGTCTGTACCATGAATAATCAAAAGCCCAATCAAAATCTCAATGTCTGTGAAATGACTTAAATCAACTCCAAAATGTCATTTCTAGATAAGCAATTAATATTGCTGTATTGGGCTTATGTGGCATGGTTTTGGTACTGGGGTGGGGCAGCATAGCATGGGTAGTTTCTGGGAGAAGAGATGAGGAGCTGCCCCTACAACTGCTTAGAAGTTTAAATGCTGAACCCCAGCATTTACCAGCATTGTTTGCCAGGACTTTATGGTATTTAAAACACTTTTTGTACACGTGGACAGCTTTTAAAATGCTTTCTCATCTCAAAGCTGCTATGACTCTACAGAGTCACACTAATACTGTTTTTCCTGGCTCATTTTTAGGGAAGTCTTCTCTTGGAATGGCACTCTTTCGTCTTGTTGAACTATCTGGAGGCTGTATTAAAATTGATGGAGTGAAAATAAATGATATTGGTTTGGCAGATCTTCGCAGCAAACTCTCAATAATTCCTCAGGAACCTGTGCTATTCAGTGGCACTGTGAGGTTAGTGAGACCATAAAAAGTCAGAAGGACTAAGCAGGCTACCAGTTCATACTCGAACTCAGGTGCTTGGTGAGATGTTAGCTCTCAGGCATCCTACCTTCTGTTCTCTGTTTTTGAAACAAACAAAAAAGCACAGCTAAATTATTTCAGCTGACCCAGTGCAGAACTGGATGTGATCATCCTCTATGGAAGCTTTGCTTTCCCTTTAGATTTAATTGAAACTTTTGTATCTTTGTCTTCCATCTCTTTTGTTCTTTGGCTACTCTAACCCTAGAGTGCAGGGAGCATCTGATTTCCTTGGCAAGGAAATTCTGTCAGTGGAAGGCTGGATGGAATCATTTGTCTGGATAGATTAGCACACTGCTGTTTTGTCATTCATTGCTGAATAAATTCTGGTTATGTTTTCTATTTCCCCCTTCAGATCAAATTTGGATCCTTTCAATCAGTACAGTGAGGAACAAATCTGGGATGCTTTGGAAAGGACTCACATGAAGGAGTGTGTAAGTATTATGTGCCCTATGAGTTAACTGTGTTTTGGCTTCCAAACCAACAAGTTCTATTAGTAGCTACTTCAGAGACCTTTAGGTAATGCTTTTTCTTTGCAACTTTTCCCCCTTGTTTATGCTTATTTTACACCGCCACACCCTGACTTTTAGACTGGTTTTGGGTTTTTTTAGTGTGCTGTATTTTGGATGTGTATTTTTTGTAGTATATACTATAGCAGAGTGGTGCTTTATCACATGGACTCCTAGGATGTCGTAATATTTCAAGTGATATTTTTCCGTACGTGCCTTATGTGCACATTCTGCATTTACATTTGTGAATGTTAATGTCACCATTGCACATTTATACAGAACTTAACATCTGCTGCTTGTGAGGTGCCCTGCAGCAAGTCTCACTGCCATGATTTTTCCAATCAAATTCTTTTCTTGTAAGTCAGGTGGCATGTATGGCTATGGTACATAAGTTGCAGTAACTCCTGCAGGGACTAGATCGACTCTTTTCTTTCGGTGAGAAAGATTGTCAGGAGATCTCTATTCATGTTGATGTGATTTTGTGCAATGCTCTTAAGTTTTTTTTGCCTCTTCTTTGTGACATAGGTTGCCCAGCTGCCTATGAAACTTGATTCAGAAGTGATGGAAAATGGAGAAAACTTCTCAGTTGGAGAGAGACAGTTACTGTGCATAGCTAGAGCTCTACTCCGTCGTTGCAAAGTGAGCATAGCAGTGAAAGAAATAGATGGAAATAGAAAACTGATAAGATTGAGAAAACCTTTTCTTTTGTGCCCAATTCCATCTATCTGTCAGAGAAATCACACCAGCAATATTGCAACCTAGAGAGGCATAGGGTTAGAACAACTAGGAAGGCATCTGTAGCCAGCTGCTAACTCCTGTAATGTCAGACTGTAACTCCTGCCATCAGAAAGGTATTGCTCATTAGTGTTATTAATAGAGTGTCAGACTGGCCTAATAATTTATTCAGTGTGTCCTGTTACTGGTGAGCATCAGATTCTTTCCTTCTTTTCACCTTTTTGTGAATGTTGGCCAAGTTTTCTCTTCTAGATGATGCTCCACTAAAATGTTGACTCTAAGTGGAGTTTGGGACCATGCTATGCCAGCAAAGTTAAAGGTTTTGCAGGAATGGAAGACAGACAATTACAGTGAGAAAGTGCTTTTGGATTGAGTTTGACGAGGATTTTAACATCCTTTTTTGTTAAATATGACACACCAAAAAAAAAAAAAAGGTGTGATGGGTAATAACTCTGCTTCTGTTTTAAAGCCAGACTACTCAGCAGAAGTTACTGCTCTCTCTGCAGTACCTGCACAAAACAAGTCTAGTTTAGTTTTGACAGGACACCTCCCCAAATCAGTTTGTGTCTGAGAGGAAGGGTAATTCTTTCCAGCATAAGAAAGCTAGTAAGCCTACTTAGTATTGACTCACTCCAGAAGGAATGTCACTACCAAGGATGTGTCAGTATTTGTATTTGAGATTTAGCTGCTGAATGTAAAACTGAAAGTGGTGGAAACTTGAGGGCCAGGTCAGAACCCAACCATCTTGTGGCTCTAGGATGTGACCATAAAATGCAAGTGTGATTCATAGGGCAACTTTATTGAAGGTAATTACATAAAACTGAAAGGGTGCTTGTAAAAACTACCTTTGTGACCGCAGCTCTGTAAGAAACTTACAGAGTTGGTCATGATAATATTTTTTATGTTCAGGAAAGAAAAGCATTATTATGGGTAACAGCTAGGATTATGTGCTGCTTTCAGATTTTGATACTGGATGAAGCAACAGCTGCTATGGACACTGAGACAGACTTACTGATTCAGGAGACTATCAGAGAGGCATTTGCAGACTGCACTATGTTAACAATTGCTCATCGCCTGCACACGGTACTGGGCTCTGATCGGATCATGGTGCTAACACAAGGACAGGTAAGGAGAAAGACTTGTGGCTGCAGTTCCTGTTGTAGTCTGGTGATGCCATATGTGTAGGCTGAACTGAAAGAGCACCTAGCATTTCACTGTAGAGAGAAAATCCTTTGTGTTCATTCACATCCTTAGTAATAATACTCCAGTAGAATCAGCTGTTGCAAAATTTCTTTTACACTTCAAGAAAGTACCATAGAGCAACAGTCTCTTTTAAAAGTGTTTTTAATTTTCCCTTTGTAGATTAATTCTGAGATGGGTAATAAGGTAAGCATCTCTGCTGAGGCTCAGTTGCAGTTTCCCATTACTTTCATGAAGGCCTGTGCTATCAAACAGGCATATGACGGGTCCTTTACCCACTTCTCAGGCTTCTATATGGAAGCCATAAACAGTTAAATTGAATGTAAGAGCATTTGACAAAGCTTTTAAAGGCAGAGAGGACAAAACCACATAGCACCTGCCTCTGTTTGCCAGAGCCACCAGATATTGTTTCCTGCTGGGTAGTTCTAGTGTTTGAGCAAGTTTGAAGCATCCCAGGTTATAGTATGTATGCATAAATGTGTGCACTTCCACCCCCTGTTGTCTCATCTAAAGACAAATGCCATGTTTTTTGGCTTCTTCAGTACAGTTGTGAGTCCAAGGCAGGGTGGGAATCCATTTTCCACTGTGTTTTACTGACATACTTTTCCTGCCTTGTTTGCTTTTAGGTAGTGGAGTTTGACATGCCGTCTGCCCTTCTGGCCAACGAGAACTCGCGCTTCTATGCTATGTTTGCTGCTGCGGAGAACAAGGTTGCTGTCAAGGGCTAAAATTCAGGGCAAAGTCACTTTAATTTTGGAGAGCTACACTCTCTGCCTGTGGCAGGCTAGCTCTTCTTCCTCCTCCTCCTTCAAGCAGATTATTGCCTTTTCATCTTTTAATTTTTAGCAGAATATGTCAAGCCAGAGAGTTTTTAAAACCATGTCAGAAGACTTCTTCATGTTTTTATTATTGTATTTATTCCATAATCATATTACTAATTTTTTGTTATTAAATGCACTCTACAAATGGCTCAGGGAGCCATAGTCACAAATGTATCAGAGGCCTATAATGAAGCTTTATACATGTAGCTATATCTATACATAATTCTGTATATAGCCTATATTTACAGTGGAAATGTAAGCTGTTTATTTTATATTAAAATAAGCACTGTATTAATAACAGTGCATATTCTTTTCTATCATTTTTGTACAGTTTACGGTACAAGAGATCTGGCTTTGTAATTGGACTGTATCAGACACCATTGTCTTTTACAGTTGGTCTTTTCCTAGTGCCAGATTTTCTGCGTGTCTGAGTGGAAGTGAAGCTTTGCAATAGTGTCCTTTATTGTCACATCTTTGTCTAGCACAGGGGAGAAGAGCTCTGTGGTGTAACTATTGCATTGTAATTTATCAAAGCTATTTGGAGCATCACTAATGTTCACCATGGCAGCGGCTGCTGCTTCCCATAATGCTTTGTCAAAGCAGGGTTTTTAGTGACCTCCTGAGTGGAGAACCACTTCTGGGTCACATTAAGGCCTCATATTTTCTCAGTGTCCTGATACAGTATTTCTTACTGTGTCAGCAGGGTTTATTTTAATGCAGGCAAGCCCAAGCTCTTCCTGCTTCGCTGATCTAACAAAACCTAAATCTAACTGTTCATGGAATGATCTGTAACAAATTAATCATAAGGTTCAAGTTACACCCTGTATGCTAGCAGGAAAGCCTTTTCAGAGTTGCTTCAGCTGACTGACTCCTTTATCTTGAAGCTGCGAAACACTCCTCAGAGGTGTAGGTGGGCTTTCACTGGCATGGGTAGCACTCTTTATTCTGCTCACTTATACTAAGGTTAAACAGTATCAATATTTCCTGTTTCTTTATTGCACACTTGTTAAGGAAACAGTCCCCCACCCCATGTCTTCTGGAACTTGGAACAGGTTCCTGTTGATCAGGATGTAACACTGGTGTAGGACATTGTTTTCTTACTGTAAAGAGACCTACCTCAGGTTACTAGGTCCTGCATAGTATGTTGCCATGATCACTGTACACCATCCCTGTTTTGTGGGACCTGTGGCCCAGAGGGGCACGGTTGCTCCAATGATAGCCGTGACTTACTGAATGGTCAGCGTTGCATGTCTTTGTCAACTTGGACATTTTGTAGCCTTAGCATGTTTGCAAAATGTTTCACCAAGGCAGAAATCTGAAAAGTAAATAAAACTATTTTGGGTTTTGTAAATTTGATTGACTTAAGTGGTTTGTTTTGGGCAATAAATCACTTTGCAGCTTTTTGAGCCCTGGAAGACAGTTTTTGCAGGCAGGTGTTTTTTTTTTTTTGTCTCCTGTCTATGTACCACAGCCTGGTCTTTCTTCCTTCAGAGTGGAAGTGTTTCTTTAAAAATGTAGTGGGTAATTTTTATTTTATGCCCTCCAACATGGGGGTGGCTTACAATATATGTATGTTTGTGTTGAGTACTACAGGGAATAATAATTTATTGTGCAAGTATTCGATCCAAGCAGCAAGGGGGGAGTTCAGATGGAATACAGAAGATCTTTCTTAAGCTCAGATTTTTCCACTTTCTTTACCTGCAAGCATTACTGTTTATAATGTGGCATGACTGCAAAGTCATAGCAACAAGCCTTTCTACCTACGAATACCACAAGCAAAAATGGCATTAACGGCTTAGACTGTAGCTTGATGTTTGTTTTTAATCAGAAGCTTGAGGACAAAAAAGAAACTGGGAAGAGGCATGAGGCAGCAGAGGTGATAGGGCAAAGATAATGCATGTCCTGCTTCTTCCTTAGAATTTGAGCTGGGTAGAATGTGAAGGTGAAGGCTGAAAACAGGAGAGGAAGAGCATGAAATGCATCTGCCTAAGGCTGTGGTTAAAACAGATCAGTTAGTTGGCATGTGCAACTCTGTTAAGGACAGGATTGTTTTGGACCCTGCAGAACTGAGTTCTCAAGTCTTGCTGGGGTCAGAGCATGGCTTCATTTTGCAGCTAAAGCTGAGCTAATGGCAGTCTGTGCAAAAGGGAAGCCATCCTGATCTTGTCCTCCTTCTTCTTCCAGGCTGGGAGTTCCTTCCACTTTCCTGAGGTCAGCACTGGCTCTTGCCTGGTCCAGCAGTGACCCAGTTCAGAAAGCTAACTTGCAGAAAGTTCACCCTCCAAAAGCTGTACAAAGAAGGAGACAGGAAGGCACACCTGGAAGGGAGGTGAAGTGGGGCTGCTATTTTCAGTAGGTGCTAACTGCAACACTGGTATAGGTATGAGGAGAAACTGTGCTCAGGATTCATTGCACCAAACTGCTGCTTCCCAGTTATGCTGCTAAAAAGGTCAATATTTTACTCCTGCTTTGGGGAGCTGAAATAGCTGAAGGTGTTAGACAAGGGCATATGAGAGAGCAGGTGAACAGTCACCTGCAGATAGCAGGGATTATCTCAACAGTTTTGTTAAACCTTAGCTCCAGCATTGTTACTTTGGAATTAAGGAGAGAGACTGCCAGAGGGAGATGTTCTTTCTGCTGTAATCACTTATCTGCTTCATTTGGCACTTGTCTCACAGACCAATACACAAGTATTGCTTCTCGCATGGGTAGCAGTAATTTTTTTATTGGCTTTTGTCCTGAACCACAGGAGCAAGCGGAGGCCTGGCCCAGGGCCCTGTCACTGAAGTGAAAGGAAGAAACATCAACATTTATAAACGAGACTGAAATACCTGTATCTTTGAAGGATTCTACAAGAGGTTGAGGATGATGGGAATTTTCAAGAGTTGGATCCTGCTTTAGAATTTATAGTGTGGTATCCCAGAGAACAGTTCATCCTGCAAGGATTAGAATAAGGTTGTGGGCTTGGGACAGAGGTTTTCCTTAAAGAGATCCTACCCAAAATAGCATGGAGATCGCACATCATTATGGCATGGTTAAACCCCAGCTGACAACTAAGCACCACACAGCTTGTTCCCCCCCCCCCCGTGGGATGACGAAGAGAACTGAAACGATAAAAGTAAGAAAGCTGAGATAAGGACAGTTATAGGTATAATAGGTAAAGCGAAACCCACACATGCAAGCAAAACAACCCATGGAATTCATTCACCACTTCCCAGCTGCAGGCAGGTGTTCAGCCACCTGCAGGAAAGCAGGGCTCCATTGTGTGGTACGAAATATCCCTTGAATCAGTTGGGGTCAACTGTCCTGGCTATGTCCCCTCCCAGCTTCAGCCTACTCACAGGTGGAGAAGCAGAAAAGGCCTTGACTCTGCGTAAGCACTGCTCAGCAGTAACTGATACTACATCCCTGTGTAATCAGCAGTATTTCAGCACATATCCAAAACATAGCCCCATACCAGCTACTTTGAAGAAAGTGAACTGTAATGCGGCCAAAACCAGCACACTTTCCTAGTATGTAGCAAAGGCTGAAACCCAAGACCAACAGGTGTGCAACTTGAGAGAGATTTGTCTGGGATATTATCCTCCAGAATTTCGATTGCATCAGTTTTGCTTATTCTGTCCAAATTCAGCCAGTGCAGCTGATCTTTAAGTGCAACTTCTTATCATAAGCTTAGAGGCCCCGAGAAAATGTTTTCCAGTTCATCTCATCTATCTGATGAGTGGAAATGTTGCGCTTGCCCAGGACTTCAATCAAAATGCAGGTAGGATTCTTCTAAAATGGCCCAGTGGGGTCGGTGTGCTGTTAAATTGGTGCAATTAAGTCCCAGGTCCTGAACCTGGGCTAGCTTGAACACATGAAGAGACTTCATTACCTGTGGTGAAGATCATACCGGGTCATATTCCGGTATGTTATCCCTACATGAAAGCTAGAGGGAGATCGAGCAGTCTCAGTACATTGCTTGGAACAAAGTTTGAGAAAGCACTATTGTTGTTTCAAAAGGCAAATGGGGCGAGTGAGAAAAAGTGTCAGAAGGGAAGGCTAAATGCAGAATATGCCATTTATGAATGGAGGATGTGGAGAGAAAAGGTGGCAGGAAAAAAAGTTTCTCTTAATTAGGAGGGGATTGGGCAAAGACAAAAGTGCTTCTTGAAGGTGCTTCAAAGGAATGTACTGAGAAGGTGCAGGGAGGCTGTAATGCCCTCATCAACCAAAGAGCTTTCCTGAAGGCTGCCTTGTTCCTTTTTGTTGCAACTGTAGTGTGTGTTTTACTATATATAAGCAATCACACAAGATTTCTTTGTAGACCCAGCTTCAGGTCAGTCTAGGATAATACGTGATTTGGTTTACACTTGGTTCAGCTGTTAACTGCAGCTATGTTGTGCTGGGGCCACAGTTTCTGCCTCAAATATGATGATACGGTGGAAACTCCACTGGAACTTGGTGCATATGCTGCTGTTAGTAGTGTAAGGCATGGGAGGCTTTTACAATGTGCCACTATGGGTTTGTTAAACCCACAATCATGTAATAACTGTTCCTGTGTCATCCACAAGATGTGCCTTGCAGGCTCAGTAGGTGGCTGAGGTAGACTGAAAATAGTTCACACAAGTGTCACTACATGGGGCAGAGATTTCCTTGGACAGCATGGAGTTCACATCACAGTGCTTTCAGCACACCTTCCTTCCTTCCTTCCAGTCTACTGTCTCCTACCCTTGTCATACAGAGAAACAAGTGGTTGCGTAAAGACGATAATTTTGTGGTTTCTGTCCTTCGCGATTTAGGAAGGCAGCAGTGGATGGTGTGCGATTGATTGCCTCGAGGGATGGGGAAAAGTTACGTACACTGTGTCTGAGCTGGGATCGTTTAGGGTGGCAGTTTAGGGTGAGTGTAGGAGGAAGGCAGCCAAAGTAGGAGGGAGGAGATTAAAACAGGGGGTCTCTGGAGTGTTCTGGTAAAGGGGGGGCTGTTAGGGATAAATCGTGAGCTGGGTGTGAGGAGCATAACCAGGAGCAGGTTGGAGGAAGCCAAAGAGGTAGCAGTGGGATTAGGGTAAATTAGGGTATATGCGTCGGCCCCGCTGGGAGCCGTGGGGTGGGGAGTTACGGGGTTTGTTTGTCTTGGAGCTGGGTAAGGGGGTGAAAATGAAGCGTTCCGGCTGTGCGGAGGAGGCAGAGCTGAGGGGGAGGCTGCACCCCCGAGGGCAGGAGGGAACGGAGCGGGGCCGGCCGCAAAGCGGGGGCTTTGTGGGCCCGGGGTCAGGCAGCACGGCTGAGGGGTGCTGGTGCTGCGGAGGGGCGCTGGGGATGCCTGTGCACGTTCCGAACCGCCCCGCGAACGGGGCTGCCCGCAGTGCAACGGTAGAACGAGGCCGCCGGGGCCCTCGCCCAACTACGGGCACCGGCAGGCTGCCGCCCCGCGGTGCGCGCGCAGCCGGCGGGCGGGGCCGAGCTGCCCTCGAGCTCCCCCAGCCGTGCCGCGCGTCGCCCCCTGGCGGCCGTGCTCGCCGCTGGCTGTTCCGGGCCCGGGCCCTGCGTTCCCTCAGCCGGTGCCTTTCCCGCCCCCCCCCCCCCCCCCCCCCCCGCAGCTCCCCCCGCTCCCCGCCCCGGTCGCTCCGGCCGCCGGGGCCTCCCTCCTCCCCGCCCGCCCATGGATTTCACATAGCAGCAGCCGCCTCCGTCTTCTCCGCCGCCGCTCCATGGCGGCTCCGGCTCCGCGGCCACCCGGCCTGTGTTGCTGCCGCAAGGGGTCCGCGGCCGGGCCGGAGGCGCCCCCGGCCCCGCCGCCGCCTCCCGAGCCGCCGCCGGACGTGGCGTCGGCCTCCAGCTCTCAGCTCTTCAGCCTCCGCCACCTGCACCTGGGGCTGGAGCTGCGGCCCGAGGCGCGGGCGCTGGCGGGCTGCCTGGTGCTGGAGCTCTGCGCCCTGCGGCCGCAGCCCCGCACCCTGGTGCTGGACGTCCACCCGGCCCTGCGCGTCCTCTCGACTGCCTACCGCCGCGCCACGGTGGGGGAAGCGCCCTGCTCCTTCGCCTTCTCGCCCGCCGAGGCCGCCACCGCCGCCACCCCGCTGCCCCCACCGCCCTGCCCGCCGCCGCCACCGCCGCCCTGCGCGCCGCCCTGCGCCGCCAGCCCGCCCTCCACCGCCACCTTTCTCTCGGCGCCCTGCATCGCCGCCAGCCCGCTGCCTGCCGCCACCGGCCCCCAGGTGGAGCCGCCCGCCAGCCCCTCGCCTGCCGCCGAGCCTCCGCCGCCGCTGCCCGTCTTCGCCCAGCCGCCCTGCGCCGCCTGCCCGCTCGGCTTCAGGGTGGACCCCTTCACCGACTACGGCTCGTCCCTCACCATCTCCCTGCCCGCCGCCCTGCAGCCGCACCAGCCCTTCCAGATCATCGTCCGCTACACCACGGCCGATGGCCCCGCCGTGAGTACTGGGCTGCGGGGGGCGGGGGGGCCCAGATGGGAGGGTGGGGGAGTGGGAAGCCGAGTCCCTGGACGGCTGGTGGGCTCTCCCGTGTCATCCGCGCCTTCCACACATCTTCCTTCTGACCGTAGAGGGAAGTGCCCTGTCCCCGCAGCAAAGGCGGTGGAAGATACTTCACTCTCAGCTCCTCCTTTTATGTCCCCGTCTCTCCGCTGCCCCTTTACTCCTCGCTTGGCAGCCGCCTGCCTGCCTGGCAGCAGCATTTGTTCCGTGTCCGGTGCCCGCAGGAGCACCCGGCGGTGCCAGTCGCTGTCTGCTGCCACTGTCGGTGCCGTGCTCAGCAGTGATGCTCGCACCTTTCCAGGCCACTCAGCTTCCCTCGCTTCCCTCGCTTCCCTCGCTTCCCTCGCTTCCCTCGCTTCCCTCGCTTCCCTCGCTTCCCTCGCTTCCCTCGCTTCCCTCGCTTCCCTCGCTTCCCTCGCTTCCCTCGCTTCCCTCGCTTCCCTCGCTTCCCTCGCTTCCCTCGCTTCCCTCGCTTCCCTCGCTTCCCTCGCTTCCCTCGCTTCCCTCGCTTCCCTCGCTTCCCTCGCTTCCCTCGCTTCCCTCGCTTCCCTCGCTTCCCTCGCTTCCCTCGCTTCCCTCGCTTCCCTCGCTTCCCTCGCTTCCCTCGCTTCCCTCGCTTCCCTCGCTTCCGCTATTCATCTCCCATCACGATAGTAATTTCAAAGTTTTTCATCCTTTAAGGGTATTGCAGTTGCTGGGGAGGAGTGTGAAAAACTGAGAACTCCTGCCTGCCTGAATTCTTCAGGACAATTTACATAATCCCCAAATATGGGAGTTTCCCCATGGATTTTGCCAGGTGCTTACAAAACCAGGCCTTGCACACCTTGGGGGCAGTTCATGAGTCTTGAGAGGAGCAGAGGGAGATTCTATGTATTCCTAAAAGTTACCTGCTTGAAAAAAGAAAGAGAAATGACCCCGAAGCACC